AATGCTGGTCCTGGTGTGTGGACTCGGGAGGTGATGCTGGTCCTAGGTTGTGGGCTCCGAAGGCGAAGCTGGTCCTGGGGCATGAGCTCGGGAGGAGATGCTGGTCCTGGGGTGTGGGCTCAGGACAACATGTTGTTCCTGGGGTGTGGGCCTAGGACGAGATGCTGGTCATGGGGTATGGGCTCAGGACAAGATGCTTGTCCTGGGGTGTCAGCTCTGGGAAGAGTTGCTGGTCTTGGGGTGTGGGCTCTTTGAGGAGATGCTGGTCCTAGGGTTTGGGCTCGGAAGAGATGCTGGTCCTAGGCTGTGGGCTCAGGAGGAAATGTTTGTCCTGGTGTGTGGCTTGGGAGGAGATGTTGGTTTTGGGGTGTGGGCTCAGGAGGAGATGCTGTTCCTGGGGTGTTGGCCTAGGACGAAATGCTGGTCTTGGTGTGTGGACTCAGGACGAGATGCTGGTCCTGGTGAGTGGGCTCGGGAGGCGATGCTGGTCCTGGGTGTGGGCTCAGGAAGAGATGCTGGTCCTGGGGTGTGGACTCGGTAGGAGATGCTGGTCCTGGGGTGTGGGCTCGGGAGGAGATGCTGGTCCTGGGGTGTGGGCTCGGGAGGAGCTTCTGGTCCTGGGGTATGGGCTCAGGACAAGATGCTGATTGGGGTGTGGGTTTAGGACGAGATGCTGATTGGGGTGTGGGTTCAGGACGAGATGCTGATTGGGGTGTGGGTTCAGGACGAGATGCTGATTGGGGTGTGGGTTCAGGACGAGATGCTGGTCCTGGGGTGTTGGCTCTCGGATGAAATGCTGGTCCTAGGATGTGGGTTCTTTGAGGTGATGCTATTCCTGGGGTTTGGGCTCGGAAGGCGATGCTTGTCCTGGGATGTGAGCTCGGGAGGAGATATTGGTCCTGGGGTGCCGGCTCAGGAGGAGCTGCTGGTCCTGGGGTGTGGACTCGGGAGGAGCTGCTGGTCCTGGGGTGTGGACTTGGGAGGAGATGCTGGTCCTGGGGTGTGGACTCGGGAGGAGCTGCTGGTCCTGGGGTGTGGACTTGGGAGGAGATGCTGGTCCTGGGGTGTGGACTCGGGAGGAGATGCTGGTCCTGGTGTGGGCCCAGGACGAGATGCTGGTCCTGGGGTGTGGGCTCAGGAGGAGATGTTGGTCCTGTGGTGTAGACTGGGGAGGAGCTTCTGGTCCTGGGTGTGGACCGGGGAGGATCTGCTGGTCCTGGGGTGTGGACTGGGGAGGAGCTGCTGGTCCTGAGGTGTGGGCTCAAGAAGAGCTGCTGGTCCTGAGGTGTGGGCTCGGGAGGAGCTGCTGGTCCTGGGGTGTGGGCTCAGGACTAGATGCTGGTCCTGGGGTGTGGGCTCTGGGAGGAGATGCTGGTCCTGAGTTGTGGGCTCTGTGAGGAGATGCTGGTCCTGGTGTGTGGGCTTGGGAGGAGATGCTCGTCCTGGGGTGTTGGCCCTGGAGGAGATGTTTTTCCTGGGTTGTGGGCTGGGGAGGAGATCTTGGTCTTGGCGTGTGTGCTCGGGAGGAGATGCTGGTCCTGGGGTGTGGGCCTGGAGGAGCTGCTTGTCCTGGGGTGTGGCCTCGGGAGGAGCTGCTGGTCCTGGGGTTTGAGCTCAGGAAGAGATGCTGGTTTAGGTGTGTGGGCTCGGGAGGAGATGCTGGTCCTGCGGTGTTGGCTCAGGAGTAGATGCTGGTCCTGGGGTGTGGGCTCGGTAGAAGATGCTGGTCCTGGGTAGTGGGCTCAGGACGAGATGCTTATCCTGGGGTGTGGGCTTGGGAGGAGATGCTGGTCCTGGGGTGTGGGCTTGGGAGGAGCTGCTGGTCCTGGGGTTTGGGATCGGGAGGAGCTGCAGGTCCTGGGGTGTGGGCTCAGGAAGAGATGCTGTTTTTGGGTGTGAGCTCTGGGAGGAGATGCTGTTCCTGGGGTGTGGGCTTGGAAGGAGCTGCTGATCCTGGGGTGTGGGCTTTGGATGAGATTCTGGTCCTAGGGAGTGGGCTCGGGAGTAGCTGCTGGTCCTGGGTGTGGGCTCGGGACGAGATGCTGGTCCTGGGTGTGGGCTCTGGACGAGATGCTGGTCCTGGGGTGTGGGCTCAAGACGAGATGCTAGTCCTGGGTTGTGGGTTCGGGAGGAGATGTTGGTTTTAGGGTGTGGGCACAGGAGGAGATGCTGGTCCTGGGATATGCGCTCAAGAAGAGCTGCTGGTCCTGGGGTGTGGGCTCTGGGAGGATATGTTGGTCCTGGGGTGTGGACTGGGGAGGAGCTGCTGGTCCTGGGGTGTGGGCTCAGGACGAGATGCTGGTCCTGGGGTGTGGGCTCTGGGAGGAGATGCTGGTCCTGGTGTGTGGGGCTTGGGAGGAGATGCTCGCCCTGGGGTGTTGGCTCTGGAGGAGATGTTTTTCCTGGGTTGTGGGCCAGGGAGGAGATCTTGGTCTTGGCGTGTGGGCTCAGGAGGAGATGGTGATGGTCCTGGGGTGTGGCCTCTGGGACGAGATGCTGGTCCTCGGGTGTGGGCTCTGGGAAGAGATTCTGGTCCTGGTGTGTGTGCTCGAGAGGAGATGCTGGTCCTGGGGTGTGGGCTCGGGAGGAGATGCTGGTCTTGGGGTGTGGGCTCTTGAGGAGATGCTGGTCCTGGGGTGTGGGTCTAGGACGAGATGCTGGTCTTGTGGTGTGGGCTCAGGACGAGATGCTGGTCCTGGGGTGTGGGCTCAGAAGGAGAGTCTGCTTCTCGGGTGTAGGCTCCAGGAGGAGATGCTGGTTCTTTGTTGTGCAATCAGGAGGAGATGCTGGTCAGGGTGTGTGGGCCTGGAGGAGCTGCTTGTCCTGGGGTGTGGCCTCGGGAGGAGCTGCTGGTCCTGGGGTTTGAGCTCAGGAAGAGATGCTGGTTTAGGTGTGTTGGCTCGGGAGGAGATGCTGGTCCTGGGGTGTGGGATCCAGGAATAGATTCTGGTCCTGGGGTTTGGACTCAGGAGGAGATGCTGGTCCTGGGGTGTGGGCTTGGGAGGAGCTGCTGGTCCTGGGGTTTGGGATTGGGAGGAGCTGCAGGTCTTGGGGTGTGGGCTCAGGAAGAGATGCTGTTTTTGGGTGTGAGCTCTGGGAAGAGATGCTGTTTCTGGGGAGTGGGCTCGGGAGTAGCTGCTGGTCCTGGGGTGTGGGCTCGGGAGGAGATGCTAGTCCTGGGGTGAGGGGTCCAGGAAGAGATGCTGGTCTTGGGTTTTGGACTCAGGAGGAAATGCTGGTCCTGGGGTGTGGGCTCGGGAGGAGCTGCTGGTCCTGGGTTTTGCCTCAGGAGGATATGCTTGTCCTGGGGTGTGGACTCCAGGAGGAGATGCTGGTCCTGGGGTTTGGACTCAGGAGGAGATGCTGGTCCTGGGGTGTGGGCTTGGGAAGAGCTGCTGGTCCTGGGGTTTGGGATCGGGAGGAGCTGCAGGTCTTGGGGTGTGGGCTCAGGAAGAGATGCTGTTTTGGGGTGTGAGCTCTGGGAAGAGATGCTGTTTCTGGGGAGTGGGCTTGGGAGGAGATGCTAGTCCTGGGGTGAGGGGTCCAGGAAGAGATGCTGGTCTTGGGTTTTGGACTCAGGAGGTTATGCTGGTCCTGGGTTTTGGCTCAGGAGGATATGCTGGTCCTGGGGTGTGGGCTCCAGGAGGAGATGCTGGTCCTGGGGTGTGGGCTCCAGGAGGAGATGCTGGTCCTGGGGTGTGGGCTCGGGAGGAGCTGCTGATCCTGGGTGTTTGCTTAGGAAGAGATTCTGGTCTTGAGGTGTGGGCTCAGGAGGAGATGCTGGTCCTGGTTTGTGGGCTCAGGAGGAGATGCTGGTCTAGGGTGTCGGCTCAGGAAGAGATGCTGGTTTTGATGTGTGGGCTCTGGGAGGAGATGCTGGTCTTGGGGTGTGGGCTCTGGAGGAGCTGCTGGTCCTGGGGTGTGGGCTCGTTAGGAGCTTCTGGTCCTGTGGTGTGGGTTCAGGAGACCATTGAACCGTGTGCTCCTGGGACACCTCACGGGGTTCTGGGGCCCCATCTTTTGCCATACCTGGCATGTTCTGTTCAGGAGGCGGCTGATACCCTGTTGTGTTTTTGAAGTGACATTTTCCTTAAGCCCAGTTAGCTGAGGCCTTTGGATGGAGCTGTTAGGGAAATCTGGCCTGCCGTGGTACTGCCCCTTGTTGTCTGTGTGGTGGTGGGAGGAGAGCTGTGTTAGTGCTGCTTTCCTGGCCCCGGGTGACCCAGGAGCAGTAGACCCTGGTGCTCACCAGCTGCCCTCACCCCACGAGGGCTTGAGCTGGTGGCCACAGGGTTGGAAAGGACTCAGGGGGGACACACCCCTGCTGTCCTCAGGGAGGCAGCTCCTGGAGGCTCTGCCTGGACAGGAGGTGGCCCCTGCCCTGGGCGGGAGGAGATGGGTTTGGGAGGAGGATGGGAGGGCGCTTTGGGCAGGTGGCAGGAGCAGGTGTGGAAAAGGCTGAGGCCGGAGAGTGCTTCTACCCCGGGGACTGGGGAGGAGTTGACAAGGGAGAAACCCTCCAGGGCCAGGGGATCAGGGGCAGGGCAGCTTCTGTTTGCCTGAGGCCACGATTCTGCCTCCCGGTACAGGTGGTGGCGCCCCTGCTTGTCCTGAGGAGACCAGCTGAATGGCCAGGAGCACTCCTCATGGAAGCACAGCTGTGGGAGGATGGCTGAACCCGGCCCATCCCACCTTCCAGCATGTACGGTAGAGGGCACAGCCTGTCACTCCTCAGCTCCTCGCTCCTTCGGCTCCTGTGCTTTCAGAGTAGATGAGGGTCTCACCCTCCCTCCCCACAACTTGAGCTTTTTAACAAGTGGAGCCCCATGAACCATTCGGCCCAGAGCACCGCCTGCCTGTTCTGGTGGGGAGGGAGGATTTGAACCTGAGCTTTCAGAGGGAGGACAGAGGCCGGAACCATGGGCGCTGCAGCGGGCAGGGTTGGATAGGCGGTGTCTGGGTACCGGGCGGAGGGCACTCTGGCAGGCACGCAGGCCTCACCGCCTGGCCCTGTCTTGCAGAGTCATGTCACGCCCAGGCCGGCCGCAGGCTCCATGAGGATTTCTAGAAGATGCTCCGCGTCTCTGTACCTCTGTTGCTGCTTTTCGTGTGGCTCCTGACAGCGGCCTGCAGCCCCCACGCCCTGAGGATTGGTAAGTGCTGCTCAGCCGGCACCCTGGGCTTGCTGCCTGGATGGGCTCCCTCTCAGCACCCCATGTGTCCACAGGGGACCCTCTGCAATGTCCCCTCGAGTTTGGCTGGGCCTGGGTGTGGGGTGGAGCCGCTGACAAGTTCCCACTGTGAACGACAACGCTGATAAGTCTCCGTTACAGCCTGTGACCAACAGCCCAGCCCAGACGGAGGAGGTGGGATGGCCCTGGGGCTCCCAAGTACAGGGAGATCAGAGAAGAGAGGTGGTCTTGTCTCTGGTCAGTGGAAGAACTTGGGAAGAGGCCAGGGAGTCTTGGGGTACCCTTGGCTGACTGCGCTGAGGGCCCTGGATGTGGCCTCTGCTTTCCCTGGCCTGGTCCTGCACTGAGGGCCCTGGACGTGGCCTCTGCTTTCCCTTTGGTAGAGCCAGCTCACCTCAGTGATGTGTCCATGCTCTCCTGTCTTGCTCACCATGGGTATCTCAGCCATATTCCATCCCTGGAGGGGCTCAGCTCCACTACCTGGGAAGCCTCACACTCCTCCCAGAACCGGGCGAGGCTTACAACTGCAGGTGGAGGCACTACTGACTGGGCCCAGGGACACAGTCCCTGCCGCAGGGACAGGAGACATTTCAGCCCAGCAGACACCATGCTGGGATCTGATGTCTTGGGGCAAATGGGAGTGTGGGGTTGGGGCATCTGTGCGTACATGGGAAGGGTCAGTGTGGATAGATCTGTGGGGAGTCATTCAGCAGGTGGGCTGTTGTCACACAGGCCTGTCTGGCAGCAGGGCCGAGGGGCGGAGCCAGGGAAGAGCCTGAAGGGACCCACGCACCAGGCAGGCTGTCCAGGCGAATCCACACGTAGATTCCCAGGTAGAGCACTACCAGCAACGCTTATAGATTCCTCCTGAAAGGGTTAGAGGCTGGTTGAGGGGGGAGATGGCGAGTACCAGGGAATTGGCTTAAAGCTTCCAAACCCCCCTGTTAGGGTCAGAACTGCCCCGAGGTCTCAGAAGCTGGAAGAGTGGGAAGCTGAGGAGGGCGGGGTATGCCAAGAGCAGAGACTGGCCGGGCAGGTGTCAAGGCCAGGGCCGCGCTGCTGCTCTTCCCGCTGCTCCAGGTTACGTGGGGGCACGTGTGCCCAGGCCCATGACAGCGGTGGGGGGACTTCGCATCGGACACGTGGTGCAGTCTCCTCAACCCACCCAGCTCGCCCTCTGCCTGCTTCATTTCTACCGAAACTCCAAACCCAACTCACTTTGGCTTAGCAGCAATGCACAATGGTTCACACCCTTAAGATGCACCATTTATAAGATGCCCACATTATTCATCATTTGCTGCGAGGTATTCCCAAGTGTGACCGTCAATTTCCACTTGTTGCCGTGGGAGGTGGAAGCCGATGGAGAGGAGCTGCAGGGCTTGGGGCCCAGCCCCGGACCCTGTTGTCCCAGAGGAGCAGGCAGTGAGCGGGCAGCTTTTTTCTGTGGCTGCACCTAACGGGGCTTCCGGGGACCCTCAGCCTCTCCAGCCACACTGGGAGTGCTGCTTGTCCAGTCCCTGAAAACTCTGCTGGACTCAGTGAGGGTTCATGCCTGGCCACTCAGGCTGCTTTCAGCCAGGCCCCGCCGCCTGGCCAGGCAAAGTGAGCCTCAGCTCCTGCAGAGGCCAGAGAGCAGACGTACACCAACAGAGGGAAAGGAAGGAAAACCAAACCAGCCCTGCCAGGACCCCTTCTTCTGTCTCCTTGGTTATCTGGGAGCCAGGAGCTCTAACTCTCCCAGAGCCTCCGTTTGGAAAGGAGGTTTCTCCAGTTCAGTGAGGATCTGCAATGGGGCGGGGACAGGTGGGGACAGGTGGGGACAGGTAAGGACAAGAGGGGACAGGGGAGGACAGGAGGGGGCCGATGGGGGCAGGCGAGGGCAGTAGGAGAAGCTGGTCATGAAAACATAAGGAGCTGTCTCTTGGCTGCCTGGCTGCTAGGTGTGGATGGCGGATTTTGCAGGAAAAATGTCCAACACTCGTTAGGTCTGCACTCGTTAGGAGCCAGGCCAAGTCAAGTTGTGAGAGTTGAAGAGATTCAATTGGCTTCCCTACAGCAGGCAGAGACCAGTGTGTAGAGTTGCCCAGGGGTGGCCCATCACACCTCTGCTGCTGCCACTGCTGGCAGCGCAAGCCTCATCCGGCCCTGGTTACCTGAGCCTCAGGCAGCCCTGGGTGGCTGGGCAGCTGCCATCTGAGGATTGCCTGAGCCACGACCGGTCCTGGGCTGCTGAAGGTGGGTCTGGCTGCACCATGCACCTGCCAACACCCTCACCACTAGCTGGGCTGAAAGGACTGGGGGAGTTCGGTGGGGCTGAGGGGACTGGGTGCTGCTATATTTGTGATGGTGTGATGGTCAATTTGCATATTCCCTCTTTATCCAATAGGATGGATTCCATCATACACTTCCCAGTAGGAGAGATTGTGGGAGTGCACCCCCTCACACACGGGTGCAGCGAGTTGTAGAGGGTGTTTTCTACAGCTGGGACGTGAGACAGAGTGGCTGGGAAAGGAGCATGGGCCAGCTGCTTCAGCTCGCTGGGAAGTCAGAGAAACGGGGCCTTGGGGACAGAGTGGGGGAGGGGGGTGCCTGGGAGGAGCTGCTGCTGCCCACCGCTGCCCTTGTTGCAAGCCTTGTGGGGTTCCTTAGGGTTCCAAGATAAGTGCCGTGATGGAAGAAGTGGGTGCGTGGGACAAGTGTGCTCCAGGGAGGGAGAGCATGAGCTAGACCTTCGTTTTAGGGGTGTTATAGGCTTGGCGTTTAGGGAGGTCTTAGGGGAGGATCTCAATAGAAAGCTCATCAGTTTCATGCTGATGTACCCACGTGAGACTTATTCCCTAACTTCATCTGTCCTTGGGTGTGGTTGGCAAATGGCATTAATTTGGTTTCTGTTCTCTGTCTTCCTGAGTGTGTGTGTGTGTGTGTGTGTGTGTGTGTGTGTGTGACTTAAGCTATTGACCCTCTGGCGTCCCTGGTTCAGGGAAGATGGGACTTACCAGTGGCATCGACTTCCAGATGCTGCAAACTCTGTCACCTGTCTCGGTTTCCCTGTCCGCCTGGCGTCTCAGCTGTGCTCAGCAGTGGCAGCTTGCACACAATGGGCTGAACCAGCACTACTGGTCCTTGAGTGTCTGTGGCACGTCTCCTCATGCCCCAGGTCCCTTTTCCCCTCACTTATTTTTTCTGGGGTTTCTTCCCACCTCCAGCCTCAGAGTCGATGGCGAGAGAGCGAGGCCATACAGAGGGCCCGGGCAGCTCAGCTGATGAGCACCCTCTGCACCCTCAGCCCACTCCTCTGCGGCTGTTTGTGGGGAGGCAATCGGACCACGGCCCTGCCTGGGGCTGCAGTTCCGCTCAGTGAGGCAGCCTGTCCGTTAGCACACCTCCCGGTGTCCAGCATGGGATGAGATTTGGGGGAAGAGAAAGGGATTTTATTTATGATGGTGAGGCTGCCCCCAAGCTCCCCAAACTCACACATGTCCGCCTCTTCAGTCATTGATCAAAATGTCTTTTGAGTTCGCTTTTGTCCCTCTTAGTCCTCTGAGCAGTGACTTTGGGACGCAAGTTAACACATGCTCTGAGAAGACCTCGTCCGCCGGCCCTGTGACTGAAAAGGACCTTCCTTCCCTGGTGACAGTGGATTCTGAGGATGGCGTTTCCCATCCTGCTGCCTTCACAGATGAGGAAGGCAACCCAAAGAGCAGCCATTTGGCCAAGGTAATACAGCAGGCAGGTGGCTGGGCCGCTGGCAGCCATCAGGGACCCAGCCGTCTCCTTGCTCCTCGAGCCATGCTCTCCGGGCTGCCCTCCCTCAGCCACTAGCATCACTCTCGCCCTGTGCAGTGGTGTCTCCCATCCTGCTCTCACGTTAGTAAACCTTACCCTTGCCCTGATCACATTAGGGACTCAGTACTTGTCAGTCCAGCGAGTTCTAGGCTTTTAGCTTACTCCTGTCTCAGATAACCTGGAGGGTTCCGTGGGGTGCCCCCACCTTGTGCCCCCTCACCACCGTCACTGGCTGAATTAGCTGTCCTCGTTTCACCGCATGCTTCACAGGGAGGAATCCTCTTTTCCTACCTTTTTCCCATTCTCCTGGTTTCAGCACAGACTGGTTGTGCTGTAACTGGCGTGGTATTTTCCCACTGGTCGCTGACCCCCCGGAAGAGCAGCCCGCTTGCACGGCGCCCCGGTGCAGACCCAGTGCGTGTCAGACGCAGTGCACGTCCATGGCCATAGGAGACCTGGGTCCCAGGAACATCCTTGCTGTCATTGTTTAAAGTACTTTCTTTGGTTGTACCTGTGTTAACAGAGGCAGACATGCAGAAGGAAAAGGAAGGGAGGGAGGAAGGGGGGAGGGAGGAAAGGAGGACTTTTTGAGGGCCAGGCCGAAGGATCTGGTGCTGAACAATAATTAACAGTTGCCATCGCCTCCCTGCTTGGGAAGCCCCACTTGCTGCCAGGGGCTGGGCCAGGTTTCCCGTCAGGCACCTGCTGGTTCGGAGAGGCAGTAAAGCTGGGGATTTGACAGAATCATCCCGGCTGCAGAGACTGAAATCAGGACCTGCCTCCCAAGCGGCACTGCTTTGCTCTGTGGCAGCGAGTGTGCCCAGACCCTGGGGAGAGCCCATGAGTCACATGCAGCACCAGTTCAGCGAGTGTGAGTTTGAGGACGGGAACATTAGCGCTGGCAGAGTCTTTTGCCTTTCTTTGATTATTTTACTTACAAATAAAGTCTCAGGGGCACACAGGCCATCTGTCGGATGCAGACATGCACATTGCGGTCCAGAGCCTGCTCGTGAGGGCAGAGCCCTACTCACCTGGGTAGTATCAACACCCTGGGCAGGGCGCAGGGCGAGGGCCAGAGGACACAGTTGGGTGTCTCTGGCCGAGGCCACTGGGCATGGACACCCAGCCGCCAGGGTTCCGTTAGTAGCGCACTCTCCTCAGGGAGATGAAACCCT